GATCTTGATTTTGTTGCACAAAAATCCGATTATAATCGGGATAATCTGACATTTTTCACTGGGTAATTGCGTCATTATGCATATCACATGATTGCTGTAATGAAATTTCTGATTTTCTTGTAAATTAATATGAGAGTTTATTTTTATCAGACATTTATCAAATAGAATTATTTAAAATGAAACAACGAAATAATAAGAGACCGAAAAAAATCAAATAAGTAATGAGAGTTGCTTGAAATATTTTTGTTTAATATGGAAAAGCAAACGACTGGTCATTGGTATTATGCAATCATATTGATGTTTATTATTTCTCTCGTCTTTGTGTAGTTCGTATAGATGTCAGTCAAGCATGACATGAGAATAGCTTTAAGATATGTATTATTATAATAACTATCAAGATGACGATACAAAGAGAGGCAATAACTTTTTATTGCCTCCCGAAATTTTCTTTAGGGGAAGCAATTGCTTCCCTTCGCCTATAAGGCGCGCCACCTATGCATACAAGACAAAACCAAATGTATATATTCGTACTAAATAATCTTTTCACTAATTTTTTTGCTTTTTTTTCATATGGATCAATATTTTGAATTAAGCAGTTATTTGGACTCTTTTCTGTCATTGCTAGATCTTTGATATTCTTTTTCATACAAGATATATATATAAATAGTTGAAATATAGAAATCGCGGTTTACAACAAGAAGTTCTCAAAATATAAGACTAAAAAAAAGCGCTTCCCGAACACCGCAACCGAGTCATATCTCACCGAGTTTTTTTTAAAACCGCGATTTGTAACGGTGGATCACGTTGTGGTTTCGTTTGAGTATACCGCAGTAAATCCTATATTGCGGTGCACCGTATCGCAGTCAACTGCGATTTATTTTAAACACCGCGGTCTTCAATGATATAACCGCAGTCATCATGAAAAAACCGTGTCTAATAGCAGTATCTCTTTAAAAAAATTTCCCGTAGGTAGTTGACTTTGAAAAGAATGAGAACGGTATATAATCTTGCGAAAAGACGTTTGTAATCTATTGATTTGCATAAATGTCCTCCATTCTAAACTTGAAAGTAATGAATACAGTATCGTATTCTTTGATCGATTTCTTCGCTTGATTTCTTCTGAATGAGAATATTGAATCTTATGCATATGTTTAACTCAAAAATGGCTTTTTTTATTTCAATTTGATCAGGAAAGGTATCGAAAATCAAATCGATTGGGATATGAATGCAGATAAATTAATGGACTTCAACCTTTCTAATCTATCCAGCCAAGTTTCCGTCAACGATCGACTTCATGTGACACACTCGCAAGATCGTCGATCTGATATCACTGTCGTTTGGTTAGAAAAGAAATCATCCATCGACATCAATCAGGCTCGATTGCTCAATGTGAATAATCGATGTTCTCTCATTTGTTTCTCGAATATATCAAAATGCCTGAAATATCTGAAGCGAACCCGATCACGTGACTATGTGATCATGATCATTGTCTGCTATTCCCTTGAAACAATTCAACGTCTCATTTATCTCCTTGGACAAAATCGTCTTGTTCAAACGATCTTTGTTGTTGGTTCTTACTGCGATGGAAGTGATTATCTGCCTCTGTTCAGCGACTCTTTTCGTCTCTTTTCAAGTCGACGAACATTGTTTAATGTTTTACAAAAACGAATTGAACAAGTGGATAAACATCATTGGGATAGTGGAATTTTTACAACGTTTTATCGAAAGGAAAAGGCCATGAAAGATGTTCAGCAGAATCTGGCCACATTTGTTTGGACACATGTATATAAAGGTTAGTCGTTGAAGACACTTTCTTCTCAGGACGTTACATATGATCGATTTAGTTCTATTGACGAAGATGTCTCGAGAAGATCTTCAGGATAAATGTCAAATGTTAAGTGAATGTCGGGCTTATTATCGTCATGATAAGACTCAATTAGATCATCTGAAGACCTTTCAATGTCAATATCAATCGAAAGATGTCATTCATTGGTATACGAAACCTTATTTTCTCTATTCTTTGATCAATCGAGCTCTTCGTAGTGAAGATATGTGGAATCTCTATGCATTTCGATATATAATTATTGATTTACACCATCGTCTTGAAGAACTATCTCAGTCACAAAATTGTTCAAGCATTCGTGTTTATCGAGGCACGAAACTCAATCGAGACGAATTGGAACAATTTCAGGTCGGTAATCTCGTCTCAACCAATGCGTTTCTTTCATGTTCAACGAATCGAAAAGTTTCAGAAATGTTTATTTCGACGAATAATAATCGACTTGCATCGCAACAATCGGTCTTATTTCTCATCGATGTCGACCGTCGAATTTCTCCAAAGACAATTTTCGCTGATGTTAGTCATCAAAGCGTCTTTCCCGATGAAAACGAAGTGATATTTACTTTTGGGTCGACTTTTCTCATCGATGAAATCAATTTCGATAAGCGGAAATGCATCTGGGTCGTTCGCATGAGTGCCACCTCGAATAAAAATGCTCTGATCGATCAGTATGAAAAGTATATTCTTGAGCGACTTCAGTTTACCGATCCAACGATTCTTTATGCTCACGCGTTAGCCAATATCAGTAGTAATTTTGGTCAAGCTTTAAGTTATTTTCATCGTTTATTGAGGATTTTACCTGTTGATCATCTCGAACGACCGAATATTTATTATAATTTAGGTCGTCTCTATCACTTTCTGGATAAATCCGACAAATCTCTTCATTATTTTCGCTGTGCCCGATTACTCATTCGTCGTCTTTTACCGGAGAGAATCTTTGATTATTGTCGAATTCTTCGCGGGTTAGGTCTTGTCTATTTAGAAATGAGAGATTCGAATCGAGCAATTCAATGGCTAGAGCAAGCACTCATTCTTCACAACAAATCTTTTTCCAACAATCACACGGAACTTCCCTTCCATCTCAATCGTCTTGCTTATGGTTATTTCCAAGCGACGAATTATCACCGTGCACTCGAGGTTCTACACGAAGCTGAACGATTTTTCCTAAGAAAAATGCCTGTGAATCATCAAGGATATGGACAGACATTACATATCACCGGGTTAGTCCATCGTGCTCTCGGCGATGATTCAAAGGCGTTGATCGCTTTTGAAGATGCTGTGAAGAAACAACATTCTTTCCTTAGTGTCGATCATCCTCGTCTGGCTTCCACTTATTATCAACTGAGTCTCCTCCATGCCGATCATAATCATAATGAACTTGCCCTTGATTGTATTCAAAAAGCTTTGAAGATTCAACTGATTAAGTTGCCACCTTCTCATTCTCAACTAAGATTATCGAAAGAACTTCTTCAACGTCTTCGCTAACGTCACTAAACCTTTCCGACCAGTGAGGATGTGAAGGTGAATATGAATAGATTGACTTTATCGTAAATCGATACTCCTTTTTCCATACATAAAAAGTTTTATTTTAAACTACTTTAGAAAAATTAGTTTTCATTTCCGAATATGCTGGAAAATTGATGTTTAAATATCTGCTTTGATTGTGTTGATAAATTATTTATTATATAATTATTGCTTGTTTGTGACAATGAACGATGATCTGAATGAGTTGTATTATTAAGTTTAAAACAGTCATTTTTCCAACTGAATACGTCTTCCTATCCGAATACTTTTATGAACTATTAAGACAATTCACCATATTTTTTATAATTGACGTGAAGATTTCTTTATAATTTTTATTATGATGATGATGAGTAAATGAATATTATTACATTCTTCTTTCCTACGTACTGTTCCGTTTTCTGAAAGAAAGGGTTATACAACGATTACATCGTGGGCTTGAAATGCTAAAAGTTTGTCTGTTTGTCCGTCTTTAAGAAAAACTAACAATAGAAATAATAACTGTATCACTTTTCAAGCATTCCTTTTAATATTAATAAATGACTATATGAATACATTTTTCGAATTTATTTATGATCCAGTACTTCCTTTTTTTCTATCATATACTTTTAATTAAACATATAATGATGACGAAATCTATCAATCAATCAATCAGATTCTTTTCAATGATAATGTCACATTTGTTTTCTTCGTTATATCCTAAACACACATTTTTATTTTCAAAAATGTCGACAACGAAATCCTTGCAGCGTGTCTTTCAAAATTTTATTCTCATTTGGTTAGACACACAACTCGATAACTCTAGTGAATATTTCCAAAATTCTTTACAACTATTACATCAATTAATTACATCAATGCCGACTTT